GGACGCCGCGGCGGCAGCAGCAGCCGCGGCGGCCGCTGAGCGGCTGCACGCTGGGGCCGCGTACCGCGAAGTGCAGAAGCTGATGCACCACGAGTGGCTGGGCGCGGGCGCGGGCCACCCCGTGGGCCTAGCGCACCCCCAGTGGCTACCCACGGGAGGAGGTGGTGGCGGCGACTGGGCCGGAGGCCCGCACCTGGAACATGGCAAGGCGGGCGGCGGTGGTACCGGCCGAGACGACGGCGGCGGCGGCGGTTTCCATGCACGCCTGGTGCACCAGGGGGCGGCCCACGCAGGTGCAGCGTGGGCACAGGGTGGCACGGCGCACCACTTGGGCCCGGCCATGTCGCCGTCGCCGGGAGCTGGCGGGGGCCACCAGCCCCAGCCACTCGGGCTCTACGCTCAGGCGGCCTACCCTGGGGGTGGCGGCGGCGGCCTGGCGGGGATGCTGGCGGCGGGCGGCGGCGGCGCGGGACCCGGCCTGCACCACGCGCTGCATGAGGACGGCCATGAGGCGCAGCTGGAGCCGTCGCCGCCGCCGCACCTGGGCGCACACGGACACGCACATGGACACGCACACGCGGGCGGCCTGCATGCGGCGGCGGTGCACCTGCACCCAGGCGCGGGAGGCGGCGGCTCGTCTGTGGGCGAGCACTCGGACGAGGACGCACCCAGCTCGGACGACCTGGAGCAGTTCGCCAAGCAGTTCAAGCAGCGGCGCATCAAGCTGGGCTTCACGCAGGCCGACGTGGGGCTGGCGCTAGGCACGCTATACGGTAACGTGTTCTCGCAGACCACGATCTGCCGCTTCGAGGCCCTGCAGCTGAGCTTCAAGAACATGTGCAAGCTGAAGCCGCTGCTCAACAAGTGGCTGGAGGAGACCGACTCGTCCAGCGGCAGCCCCACCAACCTGGACAAGATCGCGGCGCAGGGCCGCAAGCGCAAGAAGCGCACGTCCATCGAAGTGGGGGTCAAAGGCGCGCTCGAAAGCCACTTTCTCAAGTGCCCCAAACCCTCGGCGCACGAGATCACCGGCCTGGCCGACAGCTTGCAGCTGGAGAAGGAGGTGGTGCGCGTCTGGTTCTGCAACCGGCGGCAGAAGGAAAAGCGCATGACCCCGGCGGCCGGCGCCGGCCACCCACCCATGGACGACGTTTATGCGCCCGGAGAGCTAGGGCCGGGTGGGGCCGGCGCATCGCCGCCCTCGGCACCCCCGCCGCCCCCACCGGCTGCGCTGCACCACCACCATCACCACACACTGCCGGGATCTGTGCAGTGACCCCGCGGGCTGGGCCCCCGCCGGCGAGCGATGAGGCGCGGGCGCGCAGTCTGTCCGCGCGGCCTGGACTCTTTTTGTTCGGTTGCTTTGGATTTTACAAAAAGCCTAGAAACTTTCGAACAAAACCAAACGCCGGACTGCCCTCTCCGGCGAGCGGCGAAGACAGCCTATAAGCTCAGGAGAGAGGAGCAATGATCCGGAACGCGCCAACTCACCCCGGGCATCCTGCCCGACGCCTGCTCCCTGTCCCCATCCCCTCGACGACCCCCGTCCCTGCTCCCCGGGCTGTTCGGGGCCGGATCCCGGCAGCGGCCTCCCCACAGCGACAGGTAACGCGGTGCGGGGTTTAGGGATTCCTTGGGAGAGAGGACGAAATAAGGAGAGTTCCCCATTCCCTCTCCCCCGCGCGGACTCCCAAGCCTGCGGGTAAGGGGCGGGGGGCTGTCACTTTATTCGCTCCACTCCTCATCTTTCCCCGAAGATGCGCCTCACCCCCTTTCCCCTTCCTCCGGGCTTGGTTTTTTACGGTTTTTATTTATTCGCGGAGCCTCTCGGTTCCTGGAGTCCTTCTAACTCCGCCCGCGCCCTTAATTTAAATCGCTGTATACTGTATTTATCGGGGCCCCAGAGGGGAGGCCGCGAGAGCCGCGTCTGTGTATAAAGCAGGAAATAGCCAAAGCTTTAATCTAGCCTAATTTATTTTCCCCTTACCTTCTCCTACCCAACCCCCCTTAAAAAAAAAAAAAAAAGGCAAAAAAAAAAAAATTGCAACTAACAAAACCCTTCGAGTGTTCATTTTTCGTTTCGTTTTATCCGAGCCCCGGCTCGGTTCCGGGCCACGCCGGAGGGGTCTGCTCTCCCACACACTGCTAGCTGCAGACAGACCACCGCACAGCAGGGCTCCCACACCCCGCGGGACCCTGCCTGCCTGGCCACTAACAACCGAAACTTGGAAAAGTTGGAGATATTTTTTAACCAGCTGTAGAAATAAGCTGTTCCCTGAGATCCTTCTGGTAGACTCCCTGCAGCTTGTCTCAGCACCCTTTCCCGGCCACTGACCCCCTAGGGTGTGGGATGCTGGGGGGGAGGCTGGGAGAGAAATCCCCCAAGTTTGGGGGGAACCATGTAAATATATGAGATAATGTACACACTGGTGGGGAGAAGAACATTTTGTGCTTGATTTTTTTTTATTTTTGGTTTTTCTGGGTTGCCCCTCCACACCATCCCAAAAGATTTTGTACACCACTAAACCGCAAAAGATATTTTAATGATTTCTGGATTTCTGACCCATCGCTATTTATTTTCTGGATGTGTTTGGAGCTTCCCCCCTCTTTCTCCATTTCTTGTTCAGTTTGTTACCGTTGGAATTTAAATTTTGTTATTTTATTTTTGTTATTTTTTGGAACAATGTTTTGGTGCATTCTCTTTGTATCTTTATTGCAAAAAAAAAAAATGTAGACTGGGAAGTTCTCTTTATATTTATGTTATAGTAAATATTTTATTACTCACATAAACATGTACCCCAGGGCTGTGTCCTGTCCTATTTACTGTCAGGTCTGGGTTTTGGGGTGAGGTGATGGAATTTTCTGGCTCACCAATACTAAAGTTCTGGCCGCAGTCGGGGAGATGTTGGAGGAAGGTTGACCACACAGATCTTTTCAGTCCAGTATCAGGACACGGCCTGTTACTTAGACAACAGTTGGGCCATGCCCCAGCTGAATGTGTTTCGAGAAGGGGAAGCTGCCTCATGTCCCCATCCCATGAACAGACTCTCCTGAAATCAGTCCAGGGCCTGGGACAGTGAACCACCGACACCACGCCCAACCGGGGTCAGCCGTTCCTCAGGCACAATTCAACTGTTCTTCTTGACCAAGGGAGAAGCCAGTTGAGGTCAAATCACCAGCCTGGCATCGCTGTGCCCCCCTGCCCAACACCTGGTGTTAGTTTCAATTTGCACTCCATGTATAGGGACCAGACCAACTTCACTGTTCCAGATTCTGGGGAAGCTGGAAGCCTTGTCGGCCCCAACAGCCCACCCCAGCTGCCGCTCCACCAGCAAACAAATGATGGTCAAGACCACCTGATCCACACGAGTTCTAAGGGCTTAGATAGCGATCTGGGCAAGTGATTCCTCACAGCCAAGTCAGCCTGGGAGGGAGCCCTGCCTGCTTGCTTGGGCAAAGCCATTCCTACTTCTCTTTCAACAAGCCACCTATCCCAATTTCTCTTGGGGAGAAATGGAGGCACAAACAAGTGTGCCACCAGAAAGACCTGACATCTCTCCAGGAGTGGGCTCCCAGTTACCCCCCAGGGAGTGATACATCTGCCTGTAAGAAAACTGACCTCTGGTGAGGCCATAGACACAGTCCCCTCCGGCCTTCAGCAATAGCATCCAAGGGGGTCAGGATGGATGATGGAGGCAACATGGGGCTTCCAGGTTCAAAGCCCAAACCTCCCAGTCAAGATCTTCGGTTTGAAGTGTGTTTTCTTGTTCGTTTGTTTTTAACTAAGTCTTTAAAATATGAATAAAACGGCTCTTTCCATTTCCTACATAAATGTAGCTTTTTCCCTTCTCAGAAGGAACCATATGAAGTTCCTCTCACTCTTCGTAAAACCAAAACACAAGGGTACAATCACTTGGCAGGGGAGAAAACTGTGCCCTTAGTGAGGGTGAATGTAGGTTCCTTCCCACCAGCAACACCGGGGAGAGGAGAGACCGTGGCTCCAGGGATGGCATGGGATGCTCAGAGAGGTGTTCTCTGGCAATCCTGGCTGGATACCTGGCTCAGGCTAACTGGGCCCCCTGGCCATGCCAGAGTTTCTGATGACTTTCTGGACTCTACTCCAGAGTCTTGGGGGGAATCGTCTGTACAAATACAAAAGCTCAGCCTCTCACTCACTGCTCCCTCAGTTTTTGTTTTTTTTGGTTTTCTTTCCTTCTTCAGTCCAGCCTAGGGAGCGATTACCCTGTAATTGGCACCGGTGACCCTACCATTCCCCATGCTGTTGGGCCCATAAGCTTCCCCAGTAAAGAGGAGACTGGGAACTAGGAGGCATGGTGGCTACACAGCCAGGAGCCTCGGACCACCCTACCCCAGCCTCTCACCTCCTATTTTCCTAAATATGCAATTTCTTCGAAGCAGCTCCGCATCTCCACCCCTCCTCCATTCTGCATCCAGGCTGCATTTGTTCCAGCCTCGGAGGTCCTGAAATATTAGTAAATGAAGCTCACAGCTCCCCACCACCTGCACCCCATCCCTGAGCCTCAGCAGGTTTTGAGGTTGGGAGGCTGACTGGAAAGATGGGGCCTTTCACTGGCCTCAGCCTGCAGCTGACACCAATTGATTGATTGATTTCCTAATTGTGTGCTTAATCCTGTACAAGAGGGTAGGTTTATTATTTAAGCAAGTCAACTCAAAAACAACAAAACAAAGCCACCTCCCAAGAATCAGCGGCAGCTGAGAAGGGGTAAAAAAAAATGTGGGAAAGGGGATATAGAAGAAAATTAAGCACTTTATGAAGATTTTGCTTTAATGAAACATAAGCCTGGGACTGCTACCTACAGTGACTAATCCCCTGGGTCACATGAAACCTGGTTCTACTTCCCCCATTTGCCATCTTAGGGATGAACAGGAGGAGTCTCAGCCCGTTTGACTTCGTAAGAAGAAAATCATAGGGAGAGAATCATACACATAAATCTCACTCCTTAGAGTGTTTGGGAAAGACTGAGGTCAGATCCATGCAGTTGTCTTTTCCATGTGTGTGTGTATCTACCTGCTTGTTCATGAGAACCTCAGACTTCCTTTCATTCAAGAGAGGCAGATGTCCTTAGCATGAGACTTCAGAGGAAGCCAATGCTTTCTCTAGCAAGTATGGAATCTTACGATTCCATCTCCGTCCCCCTCCTCATCTGAATAGAATTGTTTTCTATTGTCAATTTAGCCACATATTCTGTTGAGCATCACTCTCCCAATGTGACCTCAGCATGTTGGTGTATGAATATGTGTGTGTGCCACTGTGCATGTAAATCTATAGCTACTTCCACTGTTAATGCTTTGAGCTAAGGGAACATTTGTAGAGTGGAGGTTGGCCAACACAGGAAAGGAAGGTGAGTGTTGTGGTCATCCATGGTCATCAAGACAAATCCAGAAGATGAACTTTCCTGATCAGGGAACCTGATCCTGCCAGACACAATCTCTTTGAGAGTCCCAAGGACACCTATGTTCTCTCCAACCTCCTACCTCAAAAAGATGCACTCATTTATGTTTTAGGTGCTTAAGACCTGCACAAGAGTCATAATGACCCCAGGAGCTCAGGACTGGATTGGGTGCCTGCAGGACTAGCTGAGCCACAATGGCAGCTGCCCACTTTCAGCTGTTTGGGCCTCAGCTACTTCTGGAGAGACGAGCGTGTGGAAGGGGCTCCCTCCCAGCAGGGTATGAACATCAGGAAGCAGACACCAGCAAAATCCCCACCTGAAAAAGAGAAAGAAAGGAGGTTGGGCATCTGGCCCAGCTCTTCCTCCTCCTAAATTTAGCAAAGACAATCATCAGTCTGATCAACCAGCTTAACGACTGAGGTCAGAGGCAGCTGGAGCTAGCAAATAAAGTCCCTGCCTGGCATATTTGAAGTCCCTGGAGTAAGTGTTTGACCCACCATTCAGAGCTCCCAGTGCCATCTCTAATGCCTCCGTGTGAGAGGACTGCCCTCTATTGGTCCCTGAGCTAGGACATGGTAGCAGGCACCCGGGCCAACTTGGTATTGAGCATTCCCCACCAGACAAATCTGCTTCAAGTTGGCTGCTCTGTGGAAGGTGCCATGTAGAGCTGAGGCAACTTTAGCCTCCAAGGGAAGCAATCTGGCCCCATATATCCATCCACAAGCATGTACACATGCACATGCACACACACACACATGCACACATACTCGCCCATGACCCTTGCCTCTCAATCTACCATCTCATCCACTGGCACAGCCAACTCTCAGAAATCCACCATCACTCACTAGCTCTTCTGTCTCTCTCACTCTCACACTCAAAATCACGCCTCCTTTCCAAGCCACTAGAATCCTTGCCAGCTCACTCACTCACAAAATGCTCATGCTGACACATGCTGGGCACACCACACCAGTGTTTGGGCCATCCAGTATCAGCTTTTTGGTCTTTGCACTGAGCTCTTCTCAGGAGTTCCCAAGTATGTGGTACATAGAACATGGGGTTAAATATGCCCATCTTCATCCTTTGTAGCATTGATGAGGTCCCATTCTCTCAGAATTTCTAAGCACTTACCCCACAAATCGCTTTCCAAACACATCCCTGCCCATCATTGTCCCAGCTCCTCCCAGATCTCTTGCTGCTCCGTTCAGATAATTAAAGTTGGGCTGTGTGTTTGTATGTATGTGTGATCTTATTTTTTAAACACACACCCCCACACATACATATGCGTGTATATATACAAACACACACAGCAATTAGATCTCTCCGTTCCTGCCGCCATCCATCACACACAGCAAATCCTCAGCTACAAGCACGCACCCACATTGCCATGCACATGAGCCCTGCACAGCATCACCTCGTCACAAGCTTCTGATGGCGCGCGCGCACACACACACACACACACACACTGGTACTTTGACATGGCTACACCCACCCTTCTAGTTCCTGGGGTTTCTCCAGGGCCACGACCCACCTCTCACCAGCTGGGCATCTGAGTGGGCTCTCCTCAAATAAGCAAAGTCCCAGGAGGCTCTGCCTCAACCCCTACCCCACCTCACAGACACACTCTGGTGGACATGTCTCTGCTGAGCCTGACCAGGGTGGGTCTGGGTATTATTAGGCTGCAGCGACAGCACGGAGGCATATGGTCTCGTACACAAAAAATAATGTTCATGTTAAATCAGACCTCATGCATAATGCATGGTGCCTGATCTCACATTATTTTGGGTGTTCGTCAAAATCAGTGTTCTTTCTTGTGAGGGCTCCTGAAAAGAAGGGAAAAAGGCGTTTGCTAATTACACCCACAGCCTGGACCCAGGCAGCTGGGAGTGCCCCCGGAGCTCTCCCTCTGGCCCCTCGGCGCCCACCAGCAGGTCTCGTCCTTCTGCCCCACTCTGTCCTTCCACATGGAAGGAGGGGCTGACTCGGTTTGTAGCAGGCGTAAGGCCCTGCATGTTATTTTTATTTCTTTTCTCTCAGCTCTCTGTCCCCCGAGGGTTCTGGGGAATAGCAGTGGCTTCGGTGCTCTCACACCCGATTCATTTGCCGTTTTATGAACTCCCCGTTGATTCATCGCCTCCCTAAGTCAATGATTCACTCCTGATGGCTTTTCAAAAATCCTTCTTCAAAGGCTCCAGATTATTCAGCTCTGAACAGGAGCGAGAGCCGGAGCAGACCTGGCCCAGCCCTACTGCCGATCCCCATGTTTGAGGGAAGATGTTGCCCCATCCTTGGCCTTTTCCAAGGTCTGAGCATCTCCATATACTCTGAAGCTGCAGAGCTG